CAGTCAACACTGCCTGGCTTGGGGAGGTGGTGAGGATGAGGTTTCTACACTGGGCAGCTAGATGGTAAGATGCTCCAGCAGTGCCATCTGCCGGCTCAGAGATGCCAGGGGCCCCTGCTCTGGGATGATGCCACCTCCGTGTTCTCATAGCAATTTCTGCCCCGTTCGTTAGCTGAGCTTCCTTAGCTTCATGGGCTTTTGGGTTTCATGTGTGAAAATTCCCAACATGCAGGGGAGTGACTGGGTGCTTTCCCATGTTCCCAGGAATGCTGCTGGCACATAGGGCAGGGACACCTGAAACAGGCCTCATGGAGGGAAATCTGGGATGCCTCCAGGAACCCAAAAGAGATGGAGGAGTAACCACTGACTCCCTCTTCTGGAAGTTCTGAAAGTGTTAGGGGAGGTCCCTTCTGACCGTAGGGCATGCTGGGAAGATGGATCCCATCATCCCGACACCCTGCTGCCACCTTCTTCCCCAGAGGAGAGTCACTCAGGGTTGGGCCTAGTCCTTGCACCTCCATTCTCTGACTGTTCCCTCCCCTCCTGCCTGCACTCAGTCAGGCTCTTCCTGGGCAGGCCTGGGGGCCTGTCTCCCTGTCCGCACCATTGAGGAGTGGTCATTTATTGGGCGGCTTGTCCTGTCCCCAGGCCTGGCCTCAGAAGGTCATGTTAGGAAGCCCAACTGTGACCTGTGATCCCACCACATTCTTCATCGGATGCTCCAGCAAACTCGGGGTTTTGTCACCTAATAGGTTCAGAACTCAGGGGGTGATGAACCGCCATCCCTCCAACCCAAACAGTGGTATGCTTGCAGGCCAGGGGACCCTTGGGTCACAGATGTCACTGACACCCCATTTGGGAAGCAGGGGGCCTCAGCCTGACTGCCAATTGCAATTATTGATTGACTGATTGATTGGAGTCAGGGTCTCACTCTGTTGCCCAGGCTGGAATGCAATGGCATGATCATGAGTTAGGCGAGCCTTCCTCCTCAGCCACCCAAGTAGCTGAGACTACAGGCACACACCACCATGCCTGGTTAATTTTTTTTTTTTTTTTTTTGTAGAGATGAGGTCTCACTATGTTGCCCTGGTTGGTCTCGAACTCCTGGACTCACCTCAGCCTCCCTAAGTGCTGGGATGACAGGCATGAGCCATGGTGCCCAGCCCCAACTGCAGTTATTCCTCCACAAGCCAGGCTGTGGTTAACTAAGCAGAGTCTCCCTGTTTAGCCTGACCTTCGCTTCAAAACAAAATTCTGTCGAGAATCATTTAAATTTCCTTCCTGTTTCAGCTGGCGGCGAAGTGGGCCCCTGCCAGACCCGGGTGGTTCCAAAACTCTTTCTTTGAGAGCTGAGTGCTTTGGTTTTCTCTGCGGTTTCTCCACAGCCCACTAACGAGACCCTGTTAGTGGTTATGAATGTAAATGCATTCTTTGTTATCCCTGCGAGATCAGGATTAGTGAAATGACAGAATTTATTGCTTCTGTTAGGAAGATATGATATTGGTTGTTGTTGTGTCTTTAATTTTGTAGGAAGAGCGAAAGTATACAGCTACATGGTCTAAATAAACAAGAAGCGGTGGAAGAAAAAATTGAGCCTGGAACACTGAAGATCCAAGCTATCTGACTGCTAACTTTATAGGAAATTGGAAAAATGTGCAGTCTTCTTTGTTTTCACCACAAAACAAAAACAAAAGCAACACTGCATCTGTACCGTCATTGAAAAGACTCCTCAGGTTGTTTTTAGTGGTAGATGAGTTAAGCTGACTGTGTACAAGGTTAATGTGCTTTGATTCAAACAAATTCATTTCTGTCTCCATAAAAGGAAGCAACACCAGTCTGGGCAACTTGGCAAGACCTCATCTCTACAAAAAATTAGCCAGGCGCGGTGGCACGTGCCTATAGTTCCGGCCACTTGGAAGGCTGAGGCAGAAGGATCGTCTGAACCAGCAGGTGGAGGCAATAGTAGTTGTGATCGTGCCACTGCACTCCAGGCTGGGTGACAGCCTGGACTCAAAAAAAACGTAAAAAGAGGTACCATTAGCCGGGCTTGGTGGCTCAGCCTGTAATCCCGTGCCTTTGGGAGGCTGAGGTGAGTGGATTGCCTGAGCCCGCGGGTTCGAGACCCGCCTGGGCAGCGAGACCTCATCTCTACAATAAATCGAAAAATCAACCGGGCGTGGTAGCGCACGCCTGTAATTCCGGCTACTCGGAAGGCTGAGGCGGAAGGATCGCCGGAGCCCAGCAGGTCGAGGCTGCGGTGGCCGGGAGCGGCCACTGCACTCCAGTCGGGGCGACAGAGTGAGACTCCAACTCAAAAAAAAAAAAAAGAGGTACCATTTACCTGAAAGATACAGGTTGAAAAAGTCAACAAAATAGTGCTCATGTCTGATGGTTAATTAAAGATCCGTAAATGCCCAACTCCCCATAAGGCAAAGAAAGATAAGACTGCCCTGTCAAATGGTAAAGAAAGTGGAAGAAGAAAACTAGAATGCCAAGTGTCATGAATCATAAAGCATCGACATCCTAATATGATCTCCTTGGTGACCATGACATTTCAGGAACTCTGAGAACTAAATGGCTGTGAGGAGTCACTGTTCTCTTTTCAAACAATTGCTAAAACTACAAAATGACAATGTGACTTGAAATACAGAGATAAAATATAGACTATGGGTATAAATAAAACTTAATGGAAAAAGTCAAACAACTTTAATATGCAAAGAACACTTACAAACCAATTAAGAGAAGAAAACAGCTTAATTGGAAAATGGGCAAAGGGAAAAATAAGCTCATATGTTAAGGCTATAAAGAGGTACTTCACAAAAGGCAAAATACACATGACCAATTATCTTATGAAAATATGTTCAGTGATATCAACCTCACTAATAATCACACCTGTAATCCCAGCACTTTCGGAGGCTGAGGGCAGGAGGATTGCTTGGGGCCAGGAGTTCAAGACCAGCCTGGGCAACATAGTGAGAACTTGACTACAAACAAACAAACAACAAAAAAAAAAACCCAAATAGCCAGGCACGGTGGTGCACACCTGTAATCCCTGCTGCTTGGGAGGCTAAGGCAGAAGGATCACCTGAGCCCAAGAGGTCGAGGCTGCAGTAGCTGTGAACATGCCACTGTCCTCCATCCAGCCTGGGCAACAGAGTGAGAACTTTGACACACACACACAAAAAAAGGAAAGTTGTGTTTTGTAATTTTATATTTTGAAAAGCTGCAAGAAGAATCACATGACTCCTGTATGCCCTTCCCCAAGACTCACCAACGGCCCCCACTGCCTCATTTGCTTGGTCCTTGTCTTGCTTCTGAGCTACTAAATGCTTGTTCGTGGGGAATTACATGATCCTCTAGCCCTACAGTGGAATAGTACCAGCAAAATTGAAAACTATATAAACCTATGTGGACTTGGTATCACACTCATTCATTTATTCATCACATTCTCCTTAGGACGCTCATAACCACCTCAGCCCCAGCAGCCCGGTTAAAGTGGGAATTTGCATTGTTGGAGGGCAGTTACATTTGGGGCTGTGGCCGGGCTTCTGCCTTGTTACTGTTGTTGCTATTGTTTTTCAGTGACAGCCCCTGCCCTCGGCATGCCTCCCAGGCATAAGCGATGTCCTCATGACACCCCTGCTGTCTACCTCCATCCATCCTGTCATCGAGAAGCCTGGGGCTTCAAGAAAGGCAAGGTGGTTTCTTGGGGCCGCATGGCTGGTGGGGGTGGCACTGGAATCTAAACCAGACTGGGAAGCATCAAAGCTGGCACTGGCTTTTACCCTCCCCTGGTGTTCCCTGCTCCTGCCTCACTCTATGGGTCGCCGCAGCGACCTAGGAATAGACCCCCTCACTGGCCCACCCCTACACAGCTTGTTGTTGTGGATGCTAGCGCCTACTCCACTTCACTTGAACTTCACCCTGGGAAGGAGGACATCTTGAGGAGGGGCTTGGGAGAGCCAGCCAGGACATCTCCCTGGGGACCTTTCAGCTGATGATCAAGAGGACGCAGCCTGTTCTCAGGTGCTTCCCCATCAACTTGCTCTATCTAGAAAATGGTGGGAGAAGGCAACGAGCTTCCACCAGGGGGGTGTCCCAGCCAAAGCCCACACTGTTCATTATAATGGCAGCTTCTTTTGGGGCCAACTGTCTTCACGATAAGCCTACGTTCACAGCAGACTTGATAGCCGAGCTTGAACTGCCTGCGCAGAGGAACTATGACACTTAATGAAAGACAGAAAGATGAGGGTGGGTGGAGAATTCACTGCCCGGGGGAGAGACGCAGCCACAAATTGGCTGTGTAGCCTCAGCTGGACAGGCTCTTCTCTATGGCTCACTCGTGGACTTAGGGAGCTGAACTAGAATGATCCCAAATGTGTCCTTGCTGGGGGTTGGATCCCACAAATGATTTCAGACTGCAGAGCACAGAGGGGATCTGGAAGAATTACCTGGTCCTGCTTCCCCCACAAAACAGGTGAGTGTCTAACCCCCTGAGGAACAATGGCTGGCCCATTCTTACATCGGCAAAGCTGCCCCCTAAACTTTCTGACTTCTGACTACTCATTAAATTGAAATATTTTGCCCACAGTATTTCTGTATACTAAATAATAAAGGTTGTGTTTGAGAATAAAATTTGACTGACTAAAAAAGAGGAAAAGAAAAAAAAGGATGTGGAAAGTACTGTGGCCTCTCTTGGCTCTCAATTGTGAGTGTTATCAGTTATGAAAAGCAAACATTCTAGAGAAACAGGAACATTCGAAACCTCCAGTGATAACCCCACCACATCCACAAACTCACCTCACTTGGGATCAAGCCTAGGCGCCAAGAGGCCTTGCCAAGGAATGAGAAACAGAGCCTTTGCTTGCAAGAAAACCCAGCTTCCATTCCCTGGCTGTTTTTCCCAGTTTTAAGCCCCTAGATACTCAGAGAGCCTTCTACAGAGAAAGTTCTCTCCAGAGCCTGCAAGGTTGCAGCAGTTAGCAGGAGGCGCGGCCTACCTGCCATCTTCTTTTCAAAAAAGGGCTGGACGATCTCGCCAAGTTTTGTCTTGTCTGCCACAGCCCCTTTCAGCAGTTGCCCACAGCAGACTGAAAGAGAGAGGAACAGAAAGGTGCCCATTAAATTTTAAATAGGAGGAAGAATGAGAAAAAAAGAAAAACCAAAAAAAAAAACCCCAGTGCTGCCTGCTGTGGGGGAAAAAAAGGTCACTGAAAAAAAGTACAAAAGGGTTTTTCAGTGTGTGGGTATGTGTCCAAGTAAAAGTAAATATCAAAAAGGAGCCAGGAAATAAGAAGAGGAGGGAGATGTGAAATGAAAAAGAATGCATCTGGCAAAGACCATATTAAAAATGGACGGCGTGGAAAAGACACTGACAAGGGATGCTGCCCACAGAGAAGCATCTCGGGGCCTCACTACGCCTAGAAGTGCTGGGCAAAACCTGGCACCCGCCAGGTCGCTGCTGAGGGTCAGCATTCAGGTGGGACCTGCTCCCCTGAGTGATGTGCCCGGGTGTGTCCACATCCGTCCATCACCACACGCAGGAGGGTGGCAGAGGGTGTTGCTTCCATGGCTTTCCAGATGGCACGGCGTCTCCATGGGGTGGTGGGTCCACACAACAGGATCATTTATTGTATTATCATTATTATTATTATTATTGTTATTGTTATTATTATTATTAGAGTTGAAGTCTCACCTTGTTGCCCAGGCTGGAGTGCAGTGGCGTGATCACAGCTCACTGCAGCCTTGACCTCCTGAGCTCAGGCAATCCTTCTGCCTCAGCCTCCCAAGTAGCTGGGACTATAGGCACAGGCCACCACGCTCAGCTGATTTTTTTGTACAGATGAGGTCTCCCTGTGTTGCTCAGGCTGGTCTTCAACTCCTGGGCTCAAGCAATCCTCTTGCCTCACCTTCCCAAAGTGCTGGGATTACAGGTGTGAGTCACTGGGCCTGGCCAACAGGATCAATTTATATTCCAAGTGGATGAACTCATAATTACAAGACACCATGCTGGAGTTAACTGACCTGTGGCCACTGCCCCACTCTGGATGCCTGCCGTTGTGGGCAGGGCCACTGTGTCATGCCCCATTGAGTCTCCAGCTCTAAGCACAGGAGGCTCTGCTGGACAACGAGTGTGAGTGAATGAACACAGGCTACCATCTCCTTGGCTGTGAAAGCTATTAATAGTCAAAGCCAGAAGATTGAGGTTGTATTTTCATGAGTTATTAATTACACACTCTTGGTTTTCTTACCTTTAAGGCTAAACATTTTTCTGCCTGTACTAAAGAAACCAAAGGCCATCCTAAAATTAACTCAATAACAGGAATGGTGGAGTCCACTACCATCACCAAATATTTATTCTTCAATAATAATAAGTATAATTCTCTATATAAATGAGAGCAGTGATCCAAAGTGGTGGGCAGCTTCACCAGCAAAGTAATAAAGGCAACCAAGACTTTTCTACATGCCAACTGCTATGCTAAGTGTGCTTTGTCTTATCCAATCCTCACAACAACCTGTTGCTTCTCAGGCAAGGAAACTGAGGCTCAAAAGATGGAGTAACCTGTTCTAGAGCATGTAGGGCAGAGATGAGATCTAAACCCATGTCTGTGTAACATCAAGCCCATGCTTAGCTTCTAGTTCTGGCCCTGAAGGAGGAACAGGTGTCATATTTAACTTTTATTAAAAGCTATGAAACTGAACAAAATATATGAAAAAATTATTGAGAATCATTGGACAACAGACACAACAGGGCTGTAATCCTTGAGAGAGGAGAAACACACAAAATGAGCCCCATATTCACCCTGGATTTCCACCCTCGGGCACTTTTCAAACCATAGCATAGGAGAAATGGAACCCAAACAGAGACCCAGTCTGATTGGGTAGAGGAAGCAAAGAATGGCATTTGAGGCTGCAGGACAGCTAGAACCTGTGGAGCAGGGAACTAGAGAGGAGGGAGCTAGGAAGGGTAGGAGTTCCAGAAATCTGCATGGGGACTCACTGAGTCTTTGGTCAATACCAAGCTGCACATGTACATGTGACATTCCCCAGGCATGGCAGAGAAAAGCCACTGGAAAGTGTGAACTGACGGCAAAGTCACACAGTGCTGGGCAAGGCTAGATTCTGGCGGTCAAAGTGAGAAGCTTTGCTGGACACCCAGATATTCAGCTGAGACTCCAGAAAGGCCACACCTTAGTTGTAGGATACTCTGGTCCTAAAGTAAGAACACTCCAGTCCCACCTTGATGAAGACTAAAAATAAACCTCAATGAAATGGATTTGATCCTCCCATCAACTGCCTGTTAGAGCTCAACTCTCTTAAACTCAATTTTCTTAAAGCAACCCAAACTTTCAACAATGTGAGAAACACAATGTCTAGCATATAATTTAAAAAAAGCAGGAAAATGTGATCCCGGCAAGGAGAGAAAACACAACATAGAACCAGACCAGGAGATGACACAGATGTCAGAATCAGCACATCGAGACTTTAAGATAGTTATTATAAATATATTTAAAACCTTAAAGGAAAAGATAGTTAAGATGAGCAGATGGAGAATCTCAGCCGAGAAATGGAAACTGTAAAAAAAAACCATATAGAAATTCTAGAACTGGAAAATACAGGATCTTACATTTTAAAAAAATCACTTGGTGGACTGCAATCAGCGAATCTGAAGACAGGGAAATAGGCAACAGAAGGAATCTAAACTGAAGCAAAGAGTAGGGTGGGAAAGACCTGGAAGAGTAGAAACTCAGGGACCTGGAAAACAATACCAGGCAGTCTAAAACATGTAACTGGAATTCTAGAAGGGGGACAGGGGACAGACCGAGAGACAGAGAGAGATGGGGAGGGGAGAGGAGAGGGAGAGAGAGGCAGAAAAAATTTTTGAGAAAATGACAGGATAGTTTCAAAATTTGATTTAAAAAAATCAACACATCCAAGAATCTGAGATCCAAGCAGAATCAACACAAAGCAAGCCACACTTTGATACATCATCGTCAAATTGCTGAAAGCTAAAGAGAAAATATTAAAAGCAGCTGGGGACAGGGGGAAATGTTTCATATATAGGGCAACAATGGTAAAAATAACCTCCGAGATCTCATCAGAAGAAATGCAAGCCAGAAGACAATGGCATGACACCTTTAAAGCGCTAAGAGAATAAAAACTGTCAACACAGATTTCTATATGCAGCCAAAACATCCTTCAGAAATGAAGGTGACATAATGACATTTCAGATGTATGAAAGCTGAGAGAATTTGTCACCAGCAGACTTTCACTACAAGAGATGTTAAAGGAAGTTCTTTAGACTGAAAGAAAACACTAGATGGAAGCATACATCTAAACCAAGGAGTGAAGAGTATTGATATGTGGATACATACAGGTCTGCCCCCACCTTATCTTACCTTCTTTAAAAGATCAATGACTAAAGCAAAAATAATTACAATATATTCTGGGGCTTATAACATATGTAGAAGTAAAATGTATGAAAATTATAGCATGAGGGACAGGAGCAGAGTAGAGAGAAATTTTCTGCTCTAAGGTTTTACATTATCCATGAAGAGGTATAATATTGATTCAAAATAAGCCATGACAAGTAAAGGATGCATCTTTAATCTCTGGAGAAAATATTAACCAAATAAAGCAAAGAGATATAGCTAAAAAGGAAACAGAGGAAATATCATGAATTACCAAAATATATTTGGTTAATCTAAAAGAGGGCAGGAAAAGAGGAACAGAGACCAGATGCCACAAATACAAAGTGAAAAAATGAGATGGTAGATTTGCAGCTGACCATACAAAAATTACTTTATATGGAAATGGACTAAATACTTCAACTAAAAAACACAGAGCGGGGCTCAGTGGCTCACAACTATAATCCCTGTACTTTGGGAGGCCAAACCAGGAGGATCGCTTGAACCCAGGAGTTTGAGGCAGCCTGGCCAACATAGCTTGACCCCATCTCTACAAAAAAATTTTTAAAAATTAGCTGGGTGTAGTGGTATGCACCTGTAATCCCAGCTACTTGAATCAAAGCTACACTGAGCTGTGATCATGCCATTGCACTCCAGCCTTGGCAACAGAGTAAGATTCCAACTCGAAAGAAAGAAAGAAAGAAAGAAAGAAAGAAAGAAAGAAAGAAAGAAAGAAAGAAAGAAAGAAAGGAAGGAAGGAAGGAAGGAAGGAAGGAAGGAAGGAAGGAAGGAAGGAAGGAAGGAAGGAAGGAAATACTGAAGCAGAATACTCACCTAAAGACTCAAAGTCTGGAAAGAGGAAATAATTATATTTGTGGTGAAGATATTCAAATAAGGCAAGTGTCCTTTTGCTGTGGGGACTGGCAGGGCATTTTGAGAAGAAATAATGGGCAAAGATGAACTCCACAGGGCTGACCTGGATCCTTCCATTTTCTATGTTTGACCCTATCTGTGTACCCAGTAAAGTGCATTGCCTGCAGCAGGAACTCAGTGAGTAATAATATTCAAATAAAATTCCTCATGGATGCTTCTTTTTTTCCCTCCCTCCCTCCCTCCCTTCCTCCCTCCCTTCCTCCCCCCCCCTCTCTTTCCCTCCCTTCCTCCCTTCTCTCCTTCCTTCCTTTCTTCCTCCTTCCCACTCTTTCTTAGAGAGAGGATCTTGCTCTGTTGCCCAGGCTGTAGTGCAGTGACATGATCACAGTTCATTGCAACCTCGAACTTCTGGGCTCAAGTGGTCTTCCCACCTCAGACTAGCTGGACTTCAGGTGCATACCACCACACTCAGCTAACTTTATTATTATTATTTCTTTTGTGGAGAAGGGGTCTTGCTATGTTGCCCAGGCTGGTCTTAAACTCCTGAACTCAAGCAATCCTCCTGCCTCAGCCTTCCAAAGTGCTGGAATTATAGGCATGAACCACTGTATTCAGTCCAGGGTTGTTTTTGACTCTGATTCATGCTCATTTTTTTTTTTAAAGAAAGGAATTATAGAGTACATCACTCTACAGACATCAGCAGTTTGGTGTATCGCCAAAAAAAAACTTCAGATTTTTTTCCTGAGCATAGATTAACAAAACTAACATACTTTTGAAAAAAATGAGATCACCCCCTGGATACAGTTGAACAGATTAGCTTTCTGCCACTTGTGGATTTAGAAATGTGTCACCAACATCAAATCACTTTACAGATTTCTTATTAATAGCTGCTTCAAGGCTGGGTGTGGTGGCTCACGCCTGTAATCCCAGCACTTTGAGAGGCTGAGGCAGGAGGATTGTCTAGGACCAGCCTAGGCAACATAGCGAGATCCCATCTCTAAAAACAAAAAAGCTGCTTCATACTCCATTATCATTATGTGGGTTAACCACCACCTATTTAATGAACCCTCTTATTAGTCTGAGGTGGGCTCTTTTTTTCATTATGCATCTAGCACATTGCTCATTGAGTATCTGAATGAGGGCTTCAGCAGAATAAAATTCTAGAAGTAAAATCAAGGGGTCAAAGGGTTTGCATAGTTAGCGTTTTAACCAACAGCAGTTTTTACATTTCAGAAGGTTGCACCCACACATATTCTCACCATTGTAAGTGGGAGTCTTCTGATGAGCTTTGTGGGAGCGAGTGTGGAGCTGTTTTGTCTGTTTCTGTGTGTTTGAGGATGTTTCCCCATAACTAAGAAGTTCACAGACATGGAGATTAGAACCAGGCAAGGGGGTGACCACAGAGGGGCAGACAGTGCCTAGAACTCTGAATTCCGACAGGCCTTTGCAGAGGGACCTCAAAGCCCCAGGCTGCCCTTTCCCAATTAAGTCCCTGAAATTAGTTTACTTAAATTTCATGATGTCTTGGATTTATCAAGAATACCTTTGAGCCGGGCATGATGGCTCACACCTGTAATCCCAGCATTTTGGGGGCCGAGGTGAGAATTGCTTGAGCCCAGGAATTCAAGACCAACTTAGGCAACACAGCAAGACCTTGTCTCTCCAAAAAATCAAAAAATTAACCAAGCGTGGTGGCACACACCTATAGTGTCAACTTCTTGGGAGGCTGAGGCGGGAGGATCACCTGAGTCCAGGAGGTTGAGGTTGTGGTGAGCTGTGATTGTGCCTGCACTCCAGCCTGAGCAACAGAGTGAGACCCCAACTCAATAAAAAAAAAAAGAATACCTTTGAGAAATGTGAACTTTATGAGTTCATCTCCAAACGCTCAACCATTTAAGAGTCCCACAATGGCTCTTTCATAACAAGCAAAAGCTATTATAGGTTTTTCTATTTTAATTTTTGGAAAAATCTTGGCAGGTAATTTCATCTCCTCATGATTAGGGCATTGGACCAATTTGGCGAGACCTTGTCTCTACACTAAATTAAAAAATTAGTCGAGCGTGGTGCTTGCCTGTAGTTCCAGCTATTTGGAAGGCTGAGGCAGAAGGATCACCTGAGCCCAGCAGGTCGAGGCTGCAGTGGCCGTGAGCGTGCCACTGCACTCCAGCCTGGGTGATAGAGTGAGACTCTCACTAAAACAAAAACAAAAACTCTGTCCCTTCGCATAACAATGCATGTAGTACTTACATAAGCATGTGGGTATAGAGACAGGTAGACAGCATATATCTATATCTATATCTATATATTTTGAGTTTGGGATCTTACTCTGGTGCCCAGGCTGGTGTGTAGTGGCACAATCACGGCTCACAGCAGCCTCAGGTGATCCTTCCATCTTAGCCTCCCAAGGAGCTGGGACTACAGGTATGTACCACCATGCCAGGCTAATATTTTTATTTTTTATAGAGAAAAAATATGTGGCCCGGGCTGGTCTTGAACTCCTAGACTCAAGCAATCCTATCACTCTGGCCTCCCAAAGTGCTGAGATTACAGACATAGGTCTGTTCATTCTTAACAAAGAAGTCATCCCTAACCACTGTGGGAAATTCAGTGTTAAAATAGTCTTAAGAAGTGCAGTCAAAAGAAGGAATTATTGAAATAATTCATTTTTAAAAATTGATGCAAGGAAAAGCATCCTTTATCCTAAAGCGTCCCAGTAAACAAATACACAAAACAATTGTTCAGTTTTCTGGCTTCATTTTATGGATATGATTTTGTCTTTGATTCCTGGCTAGTCTCCGTGGCTTTAGAATTTTCAGTTGGAGGAGATGTAATTGAAAAGCATTTTTTATTTAAAACTGGATCCTTCTGGGGTGGTGTGTATATGTATATATTTGTGTGTGTTTATTTGCTTATACTCTCTTTTGTAGGGTGTGTATGTATAATTTTGTGGGCAGATGCATATTTATGTATTTGGGGGTACAGATCTCATGTTTCCTTAGTAAATAAAGTAGAGGCTCTTTAGGCTTGTGGAGCACGAGGGGACAACGCTTTTAACTCCCTCCAACCCTGCCCTGCGTTTCTGCTACAGTTTCTTTGCCTTCCCAGCCCTTTATCCACCTGAACGCAGGCTGGCATCCAAGTCCGCCTGGGACCACCCCAGGAAAGACCTGGAGAGCTGATTTCAATATTTTCTTTCCTGGTAAAATATTTATTGAAACTGTGCAGAGCGAGAAGTCTTCCTCTGGTTCAAAAATTGTTTGCCTGTAAACACACTGACCTGGGTTGTGGGCGCCAAGTGAGACCGAAGAAAATAAACAAACAGCGGATTCGGATTATGCGAGAGCTGAGCCTTCAAGGGGGATGGCAGGGGTATGTGGGAGCACACCTGGTGCACAGCATAGAAAAACCCCTGCTCCAGAGGATATAAAGATACAAAGAATGACGGCTGGAAGATGTGCTGGCTCTTTGGGCTCTGGACATGTTTTTATGGTTAATGTGTTTATGGCAATATTCTTCAGGAGGAGAAAAATCTATCCCTGCAAAGATGGACTAACTGAAAACTGTTAAGTGCAGAGAGCAAGACAGAGAAGTGAAGATGATCCTCTTCCCTCGTCCTCCCCATGCCCCCCACCCGCCAAAAAAAAAAATTAGAGCGCTGGGGAGGGCAGAAGGCAGGGAAAGGCTTGAGAAGCAGGGCCATTCTTGGCACTCACCATTGACAAGGCCGTATTTCTGGGCCAGGAGGGCGGCCTGCAGACTTTTCCCGCTGCCCACAGGCCCACATAGCAGCACCCTTGGGGTGAATGGGGCATTTGATCGATGGTTGGTTTGGACGTAGGTCAGAGCTGGAAAGAGAGGATGTGAGGATGACAAACCCAGGTCCTCAAGAAGAGGAGACCAGCTTACAGCACCTCTGCATTGATTCTTTGAACGGCAGTAGTTATTTCTCCTTCACAGCACCATGGAAACCCTCTGTGCATCAGCCCAGTGGCCAAGGGCGAAGCGGCGGGGGAGGGAATTTTGTGGCAGGCCTAGACACCAAGGCGGGCAGGGGGCCATGATTCATAGAGGTCAACCCTCTGAATACTGCCCTGGAATTCCTCTAACACACGGTGCAACACGTTCAGGTTGGAGTGGGGACGGGTGTGGTGTGGCTGGGAGGCTGGGCTTGGGACGGAACGGCACTATAAGGTTGGTAGGTTTCCACACTGAATCCAGGCTCAGCCTCTAATCCAAAGCCCTGGGACTAGGCTGATCTCCTAGGGGAGGTGCACAATGGCTTTCTGCTGGGTGTGCCTGAGTGTCAGACACTGGCTTTGATAAATGCATGAGGCCATACGGAGGCCTAGCATGCAGGGACTTCTAAAGGACTCGGGAATTGGGGGAGAGTAATTTGTGCAGCTGCACTCCAGTGACACCAACTCTGCTGCGAGTCTCCAAAGAGGCAGTGATCAAATAGGTCACAGGGGTGGGCAGATGTAGCTGCGTGGTCCTGGCCTGTGATGTGCCCCTGGCATTTGATGAACAAAGGGGAGTGAGAGACAGGGTGAGTGTCTCCAACAACGAGGTGCCCTGCACTGTGGGGGGCACTGGATGCCAAGGAGCCACAGCGAAAACCCACTGAACATCAAATCACCCGAGCTTGGAAGAGGGCATCTGTAGGAACAGGCTGAACAGGCTGTGAAGGGTAGCATTTTGGGCATCTGAGCCAGGAGAGGGGCCTGCCCCCAAGCCGGCCTTCCAAACAGGGTCTCCTTCCCCAGGTCTCATGTCCTGCCAAGATCCCAGACCATCCCAGGCAAGATCAGCTGTCGGTGGCTCCACCGCTCCTTCCTGCCAATCTGCCTTTGCCAAAGTGCTTCCCGTGAACATTGCCCTGCGCAAGGGGCCAGGTCAGCATGCCTCCCTCAGGATCATGCCACACAAGAGCCACCCACAGATGTGGCGAGTTCCTTGGCCTCAGCACTATTGACAATCAGGGCCAGATGACCCTTTTTTTTTTTTTTTTTTTTTGAGTGGGAGTCTCACTCTGTCGCCCAGACTGGAGTGCAGTGGCCACTCCTGGCCACCGCAGCCTTGACCTGCTGGGCTCCGGCGATCCTTCCGCCTCAGCCTTCCAAGTAGCTGGAACTACAGGCGTGCGCTACCATGCCCGGCTAACTTTTTGATTTATTGTAGAGATGAGGTCTCGCTGCCCGGGTAGGTCTCAAACCCGCAGGCCCAAGCAATCCACTCACCTCAGCCTCCCAAAGGTGCGGGATTACAGGCTGAGCCACCAAGCCCAGCTTCAGATGACCCTTTAAAAAATTTTTTTTATTGTAGAGATGAGGTCTCACCAAGTTGCCTGGGCTAGTCTCGAATCTGTGGGCTCAGGCAATCCATTCGCCTCGTCCTCCCAAAGTGCTGGGATTACAGGCTGAGCCACCGAGCCTGGCCCAGATGACTCTTTGTCGTGAGGGCATCCTATGTATTGAAGGATGTTGGGAAGCATCCCTGGCCTCTACTCACAGGTGTCAGTAGCACAGTCCCAAGGTGTGACAACCAAAAAATGTTTTCAGACGTTGCTGAATATCCCTGGGGGTGGTTGTGAGGGTGGGAGCAAAACTTCCCTTAGTTGAGAACCACTGGGATATGTTCATTGTGCAAATTTTGCACTCTCAACTCTTGGCCAGGTGGTGACTCATGCCTGTAATCCCAGCACTTTGGGAGGCTGAGGTGAGAGGATTGCTTGAGCCCAGGAATTTGAGACCAGCCTAGGCAACATAGCAACACCTCATCTCTACAAAAATTAAAAAAAAAAAAAAAGCTAGGCGTAGTGGTACACGCCGGTAGTCCCCGCTACTCGGGAGGGAGACAGAGGTGGAAGGATCACCTGAGCCCAGAAGGTCAAGGCTGTGGTAAGCCGTGATTGTGCCACTGCACTCCAGCCTGGGTGACGGAGTGAGATCCCAAAAACAACAACAACAACAACAAAGAAACCTCTTTGTAGGATTTTTTTATATTGGAAAAATCATTAGCGCTCCTACAATCCCCTCCTTTTAGAAGACCCAGGTAAATGGAATTGGACTGTCTTTAAGGTTGCCAACATCCTCATCGTCAAACAGCATGTATCAATTGCTAAGGTAAATACCCAACAGGCATAATCTCACTTGTTTGACCCAACAATTCCACGGGGCTGTGTTACTCTTGCCCCATTTTACAGATGTGCCAATTAGGCCCAGAGACTTTGCAGAGCTGGGGCGGCTCTCCCAAACCAACTGCCAAGGGTAACATTCCCCCACTGAGAGAAGCCCCAAGGAAGCAAGTCAAGCAAGGCTCTCTTTATTCTCAGCCCTTCCATAATCCAATGCATCTGAAAAGCACAAATACTACAGGCAAAGTAGCCTGCTTACAAATGATGCTTAATTTACAGTAAATAACTAAGTTAATTAGAAGTAATGATCCCCCAGACGGTCTCAACATCTAATTATTCTTTTTAAAAATATGTGGTTGCTGGATGCACTGCAGAGAGATTAAAAAAACAACACAGAGAGAATTTTGCATTCCAATTTTCAATTTATCTCTCTGCATTATTAATTAATAATAATTAATATTCAGACACTCACATTTTTATTTACAATTCCAGGCATGAATTCTTTATGAACGATCATATGAACTTTTAAATTTAATTAAGTAATTTGGAAGTAATTAATGTGTAAATTCAGAATCATGGCATAAGATAAATGTTGTGGTTGTTTATCTTAAGAGCGGAGTTGTTTGCTACTAAAGACCCTTCCGAGATGCAAAATCACTGGAAAATTAGAAGCCATCATAAGCCTGGCATTTTAAAATTTCATTTTATTTTATTTGAGTCAGGGTCTCACTCTGTCACCCAGGTTGGAGTGAGGTGGCACCATCACAGCTCATCACAGCCTTGACCTCCTGGGCTCAGATGATCCTTCTGCCTCAGCCTCCCGAGTAGCTTGGACTACAGGCGGGCGCCGCCATACCCAGCTAATCTTTTTATTTTTGTAGGGAAAAGGTCTTGCTATGTTACCCAGGTTGGTCTTGAACTCCTGGGCTCAAGCAATCCTTCCACCTTGGCCTCCCAAAGTGCTGGGATTACAGGTGTGCACCACTGCACCCAGCCCAGGATGTGTCACTTTTTACACATCCACCGATTGGTTGACTGCTCCCTTCAGAGAGCAAGGCAGTGCCACTGACACCACCCTGGGGTCTCTTCACAGGAAAGGTGGCAGGGAAGGACAGGAGGAGCTCAGAGGCACCTTTCCAGCAAAACAAAACCTTTCTTGAAGATATTTGAGAGAATATATGAAAAAAGGACTTTGTAAACTGTCAAGTGTCTTCAATAGCTGTTTCTCCCTTCTGTTTTTTTGCAAATACTTCATTTACCCAGCACTGCAGGGACAGGAACAACTGGATTTTCAAATGATCAAAGCTCAAGACTTTTAAAAATTATAATACAGCTACTTTGGGGTAGAATCATTCCAACTTTCCCATGCCTTTCTGGTCAGGATGTTGAATAATAATAATAATAATAATAGCAATGACTTTACTGAGCCAGTTCTCTGCATCAGCTACTGGGCTCATGGTTGTGGATGCGAGATTTGGAGCTTCTCATTTAATCCTCACCGACCTACCCCTGAAAGGAAGGCATAAGTTTTGTTCCTATTTTAGAGATGACAAAACTGAGGCTCAGGGGGGGTCAACAGAGTTACACTCTCCACACACCTTATCTGTGGGGAGGCTCAGATTTATTTTATTTTTTGAGTTGGAGTCTCACTCTGTCACCCAGGCTGGAGAGCAGTGGCACACTCTTGGCCACTGTAGCCCCAACCTCCTGGGCTCAGGTGATCCTTCCAGCTGGAACTATAGGCATGTGTCACCACACCCGGTTAAATTTTTTTTTTTTATGGTAGAGATGAGGTCTTGCCAAGTTGCCCAGGTTGGTCTTGAACCATGGGCTCAGGCAATCCTCTCACCTCAGCCTTGCAAAGTGCTGGGATTATAGGCGTGAGCTACTGCACCTGGCCAGGGCCGAAATTTGAACACAGATCACTTGGTGCCAAAGTCTAGGGCTCAGCCACCACCCCTCCCCAGCACAGGCTGTCTCTGCTGGTTTCTAATGAAGTTGCTTGAACATTTGTTGCCGATGTGGACAACAGCACAGTGCCGAGCGTGGGGCTGCTTCTCTCTGTTCTAAATGGACGCATGACACCTGAGTTGTGATGTGGGGTTTCTAGTTCTTGTGGTGGTGGTTTTTGTTTTTGTCTTAATCTTTATACATTTTTTTCTTTCTTCTTCTACAAGGTCAAGCCCAAACTTCTAGCTACATGTCCCTCCCACCCCATCCCTCATCTCTCCTCCTCCCAACACCATCACTGTCAAATCTGCTGTGGGCCAGAGATGTGACCACGTCTGAGTGCAGGATGTCAGCCCAGGGTCTGCAAGTGGGTGCCCCCAGGAGCCCTGCACACATGCGTTTCTGGGCAAGGAGCCTGGGTCATCTGGGACTTGACTCCCAGGGTCCCAGGCACATTCTAGATACTGGCTGCTCCCACAGTGAGTGACAGAGATGAGGAGGTGGAGTACTTGGGTGCCCAACCCTCGGACACGAGTCCAGGGTGGGGCTGCGCGCCTGGGCTTACCCTGGTAGAAGACGTCCATACACGGCTGGTCTGCACTGATGACTTTCAGGATTTTGGGGTAAGAGGGGAGAATCCTGACGATGTTCCTATGATACTCCAACAGTTTCTGAGCTGTCTCCAGCTCCGAGATACCCTCTGGCACCATCAGACGGTTCTGGACTTCAGTTTCGGGGGGCCAGTCAAAGGTGGTATGATAAATCTCTGCAAGGAGAGAGGTGCATGGTTAGAATCATCCACCCAGGGGCCATATGCAGGCGGGAACTGTGACTCCCAGAGACATGGCTGACCAAGTTAGGACTGGTGCCAATACCAGCACTTCTAGACTGGTGTTGGCTCTGGGCCTGCTCTGTTGTTTGTTTGTTTTTTTAATATTAGGAGCAAGGCGTCACTATGTTGCCCAGGCTGGTCTTGAACTCCTGGACTCAAGTGATCCTCCTGCCTCAGCCTCCCAAAGTGCTAGAACTATGGGCATGAGCCACTGCACCTGGCAACTATTGTTATTGTTGCTATGATAATGCCAATCAGTGCAGGGCAAGGTGCCGTGGATTTCTGAGCAATTCCTCTGCGCCAGGCACTCTGATATGCACCCACCCGCAGACTCTCATCCTCACAGCAATGCCATCACAAAGTAGGGTTTGGTGTTTTCATCCACAAGTACAGACAAGAACACTAAATCTCAGAGAGGGACCCCATATCTGCAGCTAGAAAGGGGCAGAGCCAGGGAGCCACAAACCCAAGTCCATCTGCCAGTAAAGCCCAAGCCCCAGAGGTCAAGGGCACTCCTACTTCCTCCAACCCTCCAGAACTGTCTGGTCTTTAAGACCTAGCTCGGGGGTTCCCCCTCCTTAGCATCTGCCGATGTTCCTAGGTGATGCCCATGCCCCACCCTTCTGTATATGTATACCAAAGAACACAGGGGCACGGAGTTTGTCTCAGGGAGATATAGACATCCCCTGGTTCCTGAATGGGTTCAAAGTCTGGCTGACCAGTGTCACCATCCACACCTGGCTTTGGTTCTGCCACAAACAAGGCACCTCCTCTAACCCAAACAGGACTCTGTTTCCTCATCAGTCAAAATCTATCACCTCCCAAGTATCTTCCAGCTTGGAGCCCAGCCTGTGGCATTTGAGCCTCTGCTTGCCTGGGTGGCCTCTCACAAAGCCCTCTGAGAACCCCTCCGCATGTGCTCAGGAAATGACAGCCAGGGCCGTCAAGACGACTGACTCTGAAACCCCATGGGGTGGGGGCAGGGCGGGGGTGCTACAGCCATACCTCCGGTCTGAGGGTCGATTCTCTTCCCCAGGTTTCTCTCGATCAGGACGGTGTCTGACGCACTCAGCACGACTGAGCAGAGAAGAAAAGGGGCGAGACCAGGCATGTCCAGCAGCAGGGGCCACACATTTGAGTTTCATGGGCCAATAACTTATTTTATGCTTGTTTTTGCTGCATAATGACATTAAAACAACGACCACCTCCCATCCCCATAAAAAAAAAAAAAAGATCTCCTTAACATTCAAACACAAAGAACATTGTCTCGGGGCAGAGGACAGCCACGATTAAACACTTCGACTACTAACAAGTTCCATGATCACAGATAAGACTGTAATGGACATCTTTGTGCACGATGCTTCTGCCACATTTCGGATACTCTCCTAGAGTGAGTTCCTGAGATATGTGACTCCTGGGACAAGGAATCAGCAGGATGAAAACAAAACCCCACTTTTCTTAAGAACCAGCTGTGAATACATTCAGCTTTGTGAAGAATTCAACTGTGCTGTGTTCCTTTTCCTTGCTGGCATCTGCATCTCGGACAGTCCCTGGGCTGAGAGTGGGGGCCCGGGTGGGAGTCAGTGGTACCAGCAGGGTGCTCACTCGCCCCACAGCTGCATCCCTGGTGGGATGGCCCTGGGGGAGCTACTCACCCACGTGTCTGGGGGTGATCCCCAGGGTCTGGATCATTAGAGCCTGCTCCCGTGTCTCAGGGATGCCGTCCAGGATCCAGCCCTAGACAGACAGATTTGGAGAGGTGCTCATCTATTTTTATTCCTAGATTTTTTTTAATTAAAAAGGTATATCCTAGCTTTATGGAAACACTGAAACTTTTTTTTTTGAGTGGGGGTCTCACTCTGTCACCCAGGCTAGAGGGCAGTACCATGATCACAGCTCACTGCAGCCTCAACCTCCTGGGCTCAGGTGATACTTCCACTTCAGCTTCCCAAGTAGCTGGGACTACCAGTGTGCACCACCACGCCTGTCTAATTGTTTAATTTTTTTGTAGCGATGAGGTCTTGCTACGTTGCCCAGGCTGTCCTTGAACTTCTAGTTTCAAGTGATCCTCCCACTTTGGCCTCCCAAACTGCTGAAATTAAAGGCACGAACCCCGTGCCAGGTCAACACTGGAACTTTTAAGACAAAAGAAAATAAATGTTTCTGATAATCATATCACACCCCTTAGCAACTACTCTCAGGTTATTATATTCCCTTCTGAGTCTTATGCTTATGGCTACAGTCATAACAAATCCATTTTGTATCCTGATTTTTTCCCATCACACATGTTAGCTACCACAGCATGGCTTCACATCAGCATGGCTCCTCAAAGGCCACAGTTTTCAGTGACTAATCAACATTGCACCAACAGAGTGCACCACAGCCACTTAATTACAACCCACGACTGAACATTTTGACTACTAACAAATTTCACTATGATAAATAATACCGCGATGACCATCTTTGCACATATAGCTCCTTGTGCATATTGGATAATTTCCTAAAGAGAGTTCCTGAGATGTGGGATTACTGGGACAAGGAGTCACCAGGGTGAAAACAAAACTCCACTCTTCTCTTTTTTTGAGTCGGGTCTCATGCTGTCCCTAGGCTGGAGTGTTGTGACATGATCACAGCTCACCGCATTTTCAACCTCCTGGGCTCAGGTGATCCCATCTACCTCAGCCTCTCGAGTAGCTGGGACTATAGGCACATGTCACCGTACCTGGCTAATTTAAAATTTTTTCTTGTAGAGACAGGGTCTCGCTATGTTGCCCAGGTTGTTCTTGAACTCATGGGCTCACTCAATCTTCCTGCCTCAGTCTCCCAAAGTATTGGGACTATAGGCATGAGCCACCATGTCTGGCTGAAAAACCTGCTTTTCTTAAGAATAAACTTTGAATGATACTCTAAGAGACCTGAGTTCAGGTTCTCTCTGCAGCTATAATAACTCATTACAGGGTTGAAATCCTTCAAACACCAGCCCCTTCTTATTACAGCTAGGGAATTTGTTTGGAAGATTCATTTTTACTAACTCTTTAAATCCAATTGTGAAAAAAGTACACAATCATTGTACTCTATGGAAAATACTAGAAAGTGGAAAGAATAATGGAAGTTACTGATAGTACCACCAACCCAAACAAGCCACTGCCAACATTTTGGTATATCTTTTTCTCAGCATCACACAGATATCTTTTCTCATGGGGGCAGCGGATGATGGGGCAGGGAGGAATCACACTGTACAAAATATTTTGTAATCTGTTACTTTCACATAGAAAAAACATTCCGTGGCCAGGCGAGATGGCTCACACCTGTAATGCTAGTATACTGAGAGGCTGAGGCAGCAGGATTGTTTGAGCCCAGGAGTTCAAGTTCAGACTAGGCAGCATAGTAAGACCTGTCTCTGCAGAAAATTTAAAAAATTAGCTGGGTGTGGTGGAACATGGGTGAAGTCCCAGCTTGGGAGACTGAGGCAGAAGGATCATCTGAGTCCAGAAGGTTGAGGTTGCAGTGAGCCATGATCATGCCACTGAACTTCAGTGTGGGTGACAGAGTGAAAACCTGACTAAAAAAAAAAAAAGAAAAGAAAAAACATTTCATTAACATTTTTCCATGTCACAAAGTGCTCATCTCCTGGCATTTCATCCTTTTATTTATTGACAAGAGCTGTTTACATATGAAGAATATTAACATATTTTGGCAAACACTACACAAACCCTTTGAGGCAAACAGTGTTGCCAAGGTTTTCTGCAGTTTGTGGCTTTTTACTTTTGTGTATGGTGCTATTTCGGACACATCAGGCTTTGGCCAAATCAATCAATGTTTTCCTCTGATTATGACATCATGTGTATGCATAAAAAGGCCTTTCCATCGCAAAAGGGGATAAATACTCATTTGCATTTAAATTGTGTTCTTATGCTTTTTACTCTTGACATATAAATATGTAATAGAGTCACATTTTATTTTGTGAATGACATGGATCTATAATCTAATCTGTTTCCTGTGGTCTGCCAACTGTCCCATCATCATCTACAAAACATTTCCCTTTTCCCCGATGGCACTTTTATCATAGTCTTTTTAACTTTAATTTAATTTTTAATTTATTTTTTATTTTTTAGAGTTGGGTTTTCGCTATGTTACCCAGGCTGGGCTCAAGCAATTCTCCCAACTTGGCCTCCCAAAGTGCTGGGATTACAGGTGTAAACCACTGTGCCCAGCTACTTTTATCATAGTCTAAATGCTGATATGACATGGTTCTGGTCTCTGTCTGCCTAGAGATTATTAAATTATTTTCATTTAACTGCTTAAATTTTTGTTTTATAATTTATTGTAATATCTAATAGAATATGCTTTCCTTTCCTTTTTTCCCCCAAAATGTTATTCTTTCAGGTAAACATCAAAAATATTTTGTTAAGTTCCAAAATGGAAATTCGATGAGGATTTTGGAACGACATTAAATGTGTAGATTAATTCATGAAGAATTGACATTTTTACAGTATCAAGTTAACACATTATCTTCTCATTTGCTTAAGATTTTTCTTTTCTTTTCTTTTCTTTTTTTTTTTGAGTTGGAGTCTCACTCTGTCACCCAGACTGGAGTGCAGTGGCCTCTCCCGGCCACTGCAGCCTTGACCTGCTGGGCTCCGGCGATCCTTCCGCCTCAGCCTTCCAAGTAGCCGGAATTACAGGCATGCGCTACCACACCTGGCTGATTTTTTGATTTATTGTAGAGATGAGGTCTCGCTGCCCAGGCGGGTCTCGAACCCGCGGGCTCAGGCAATCCACTCACCTCAGCCTCCCAAGGCGTGGGATTACAGGCTGAGCCACCGGCCCGGCTGCTTAAGTTTTTTTAATGTCCCCCAGCAATGTTTGCATTAAACAACTTCTAAAGTCCTTTCAAGTCCCATGAGTCTAGAGTTACACACACACACACACACACACACACACACACACACACACACACACAGTTTAATGTTTTAGATTTGATATTCAGATCAATTAGTAAAGTGCACTTTGAGCCGGGCTCGGTGGCTCAGCCTGTAATCCCGCGCCTTGGGAGGCTGAGGTGAGTGGATTGCCTGAGCCCATGGGATCGAGACCTGCCTGGGCAACTTGGCGAGACCTCATCTCTACAATAAATAAAAAATTAGCCGGGCGTGGTAGAATGTGCCTGTACTTCCAGCTACTTGGAAGGCTGAGGCGGAAGGATCGCCAGCAGGTCGAGGTTGCGGTAGCCGAGAGCGGCCACTGCACTCCAGTCTGGGCGATGGAGTGAGACTCCAACTCAAAAAAAAAAAATAATAATAATACTGATAAAAATAAAGTGCACTTTGGAAGAGTGAAATGAAACAGCAAATTGCTTCAAGTCTTCATTTTGTAAGGAAGGGAGTGAAGCGACCAGGGGCTGCCACTGAAGTCTCTGACACTGGCTTCCAGAAGGCAGCCCCCACCTTGCTGCAGACCTCTTCCTCTCACGTATTATGAGACCCAGTGGCTCCAGGGTCAGTGGATGGACTGACGTGAACAAACTCAGTCTCAAGGTTACTCATGCCCACCTTATGGACATGGTGTGGGAAAAGGCAAGAGGCGTCTTTCTTTAAAAAATGTGTCCAGGCCATTGTTTTGTTAAACTCTGATGTATCCACGAGGCTCTTTGAGCTATGGCTGCCATGTTTCCTAGTTTTGGCCCCCTCCCCCACCTTGGGGAGGTGAATCCCCTCTCTCTCATTTACTTTCTAAATAAACTATATTTTCTCATCTTAAAAAAAATAAATGCCCACATTTCTTCAATGCTAAAATATTTAGGTTCCAACAGTCTCCACTGACAGTTAAAAAAAACTAAACAAATTTCCAGCCTAAAGGGTACTGGAAAAATCAGGTAAGCTTTCATTAATTTCTTAAACTATACAGGAAGACTCACAGCCATGGAATACCTGGTTTCTAGAACTAATGAAGCAAAAGTGTAAAAAAAAATTTTTTAGCAACCTTTGGCTCCCTCAAGTCCTTGTTATAGCCGGTCAACGACTGGGCCGCAGCTCCTAAACAGAGCGAACATCCACGGCCATGAATAATGCTGCAGGAACCAGGAGACATGGCATCTGAGAACTCCTTTGCTCACAGTTCTGGAAGCCAAACCCACGTTTTCTGAATTTTAGCTAAATTCACACACCTTATTTTTCCTTTATTTGGATGGGGAGGAATTGTGAGCCCATTGATTGCTTCTTCTAGTACAAGGGCTGGTAATTCTGTTTTGAGGCCCTTTTTGAAGCTGGAAGGTTGGAACTCTGTCTGCTTAGCGCTGAGAAAGACCTCTGCTTTTAATATTGCATTACTGAGCAATCATTATAATCTCGCCTATAAATTTGCAGCAGCTATCAGTATGTGGTCCAAAGCTTTTAGAACTATTCAGGGGAACAGCTCTCACTGACTTCTCACTGGAGAAAGCGGGACTTCCAATTACACAGGAAAAGTGCAGCAAAATGAGGAACATCTCCCTAATTAGCCTGGCCTCACTGGTGTGTCCTGGTGCGGATGTGAACATCTAGAAGGACGAAATGGGGCTTGGAAGTGAGCCCCAGGTCCCCCCTCTTCAGGTCTGCTCCTTCTGACATGGGGGGAGTGGCACGATCACTCAGGTGCTAAGAAACAAGGTCCCGAGGAAGCCCTGGACCAGCACCCACGACCCCTTAGAGAAGCCCCACTTTCCACCGGAAGGCAGCTGTGGACAATTTTATCCTCCA